GACCCCCCCCCCCCCCCCGCGGGGGGGGGGGTGGGGGTGGGGGTGGTTATGAGTGAGCAGCTGTGTGGGGCTTAGTTGCCGGCTGAGGTTAAACCACAACATCATGTTAAATCCAAAACCCAGCACTATGCCAGATACTAGGAAGAAAATTAACTCTATCCCAGCTGAAACCAGGACACTTTATTATCTAGTGGGAAAATTAAATGTATTTTAAAACCAGCAATAATGATTGCTTTCAGAACTGCTAAGTTTTGGTGTGGTTTTATTTTTGTTTGTTTAAATAATTAAGGTATGGAAATCAGCCAGCATGGAAACTTTGCAGCTCTTGAGACAACAAGTCTGTATGATAATGAGAAAGGTAGTAGTAGTAGTAGTAGTAATAATAATAATAATAGTAATGATGTGCTGTAACTGCTACCAAGGCTTTCCTTGGCTATTGTTTAAGGGAATCAAAAGCAAAATTAAAGGACCAATTGCCTCATAGTTGTTAACTGGGTTTGGCTCACATTTTCCCTGATTATACTGCCATGCTTTAAAACAATCAACATTTGGCCTTAAATCAGAAGGCTGAATTTAGAACAGGATGGTTTAGTAGAGCTCATCTTCGAATTACATAGCAATTCCCAAAAGCTCTTCCACGATGTCTTATTTCATTTTTAGGAACAGCTTCATCTGTGCTCCCAACATCACATATACTGTTTTTTAAAGACTTTGCAAAAGTTAGTTTCTAATGTCTACAATTTCTAACCATAGAAATCAATGTACAGAACTAAAAAGATAAATTCATATGCTAAATGAAATTTAGCAGTGTGCTCAACCCCATGTAAGTGTAATTTTCCAAAAGATGAAGCAACAGGCCCAAAGGAGACATAATCACTAGTACTTTAAAGCCCACTGAACAAAAGAAAAACCTGGAGACAGCTGACACTACAAGCATGCCAAGAATATTGTGATACTTGATATGGAAAAGCAAGTTGTTTCCAAAAGAAATGAGTTTAAACAAAGCTTTAAAAGCAATGCAATACTGTATGAGACTAGATATTATATGCTATTATATTTATGTAGCATAAAATATTAGAGGCTGCAATGCAGAAAAATAGTCTGTGCTGTTTATTCTTTTAGTGCTGGCAATAATACAGCATTCAGAGAATTTCAGAGGGAAAATGAGATAATGCAAGTATTAACAGGAGTATCACCTGTAAGTCAGCTTAATACAAAGTCAATGAAAGATGTATTGGATTATTCTTATCTGCATTAGCACAGTATCGAGAAAAGCAGCAACAGATCACGACGTCACTGTGCTACGCACTGTGCAAAATGGAGACTGGGAAGATAGTCCCTCTCCCAAATAAGATGACATTCAATAGGAAATAGGAGCTGGGTGGGCACCGATGAGAAGCATAGGGAGAATGAGGCAGAGGTGCTGCTGCTGGCCCCATCATAAACTTGATAAAGGAATTGGTTGTTTTCAGTTCACATTAATATGTAAACCAGAAGAGTTTGATCTCAGCAGGGTCAAGAAAAGAGACTCGTATCAGCTCAGAGCTTTCATCCAACTCAAGAAGGATTGATGAGTCACTGTGTATTTAATAATACATTTGGGTTGGAAGCATCTTTACAACAAATGTATCCAAAAATATGCAGAGAAGATTTCATTAGCCACGCTCAACCACTTCTGAAAGCACAACCCTGACTCAGCCTTTGACCACGGGACTCAAGCTGGTGGCTCCAGAAAAGCACCACCATCGCCTGGTGACGAGTTGTAGTGGGTTGGGAAGCCCGGGACAAAGCCCGCTACCATTGCTTTTCTGTGAACACGCTAATGCTGTGAAAGCAAACGTGCCTCTTCATGCCAAAGAGCTGAAGCTAAATAAAATGACTCATCTTCGAGGGGAAAGCAAACAAATAAACAAACAAACAAACAACCCACCCCCAGCAAACGTGCTGTTCCACGCTTCATTTTCAGATGCCTTTGTCAAGGTATTTCTCATGTTTCACTCTCTTATTTGTGAATTCTTGAAACCTTGAAAACAAAACACGGTTACTTTCCAGACCCTTCGTACCAAGCACCGAATGACAAGAAGTTAGCAATTATTCAGCTGCTGAGGAGTTTTGAGAGGTATTGAAGTACATGTCATAATTGGAAGTGTAAAGAAAAAAATGAAAGGTAAACTTGCTTGGAATTTGTCCCTTCCTAAAGCTTTAGAGTTCAGACGGGTGTGCCCTGCCTCCACCTCCGACTCCAGTTGTGAATACAGGCAAAGCCTCTTTGGTTTTTTAAACCTCCCCTCCTCGGTCCTTGACACTTCTCACCAGTGCTCTAACTTCAATGAGAAACTTCTGCACTTGGACAAATGAAAAAGGAAAATCCAAGGAAAAGGATTAGAAAGTGACCAAAAGATGCTGAGAAGCCAAAAAGAATTTGTCTTAAAGTCCTAAGGTAGGAGATAGCGATAGAAGGGAGGGAGACCTAGAAGGCATCATAAGGCAGGAAACATACAGAATGAAGAGCGAATAAAATGTAAACCTCTACCACTCACATCAGCCTTGGTCACCGTTTAGTCCCCGTAGCCAAGAACACAAGAGCCAGAATCTGAAAAGCGGAGGATGGCCTATTGAATCGTTTGCTAGGGTAACAGACTGACAAGAGACAGATGAGGTTTGCTGCCTGCAAGGTTCAGGTCACGGGCAGATAGCCATTTGTACTGGATTTTAAATCCTAATGCCTGCCTGGGAGATTAAAACTCAGTTTCCTGCAAAGACCAAAAATCTTAAATAAGCAAAAGCAGTTCTTTTCCCTCTCAGAGAAAGGTCTGATTAAAAAATACATAATTCCCTCAAGGTTTTTCGAGTTAGCTCCTTGGTTTGTCGTAAGACATATCTATTGCACTGCACAGGCTGTCAACAAACTCTGCTGCAAACTCACAGGTATCATTTATTACTCTATTTCCATTTTATGGGCTATATTCATTTTGGCCTCACTTACATCAGGATATGGTTTGTAGTATTACTGCTTGTGCCACTATCATTGCAGCTGAATCAGCACTTCATGACAAAGCAAAGCAAACACTCTTTCTACTAGGTTAGGAGGTATTATCCCTCTGCATCAAGCTGTGTCCTCCCGTACTTCATGGCTACGGATAAATCTGGACGACCATAAAGTCTGTCCAATTCTCTTCAACACAGATAAGGATTTCCAAGTCTGTAGAGTAAATCTCTGCCAACACAAAATAACTCGGCCTCCACCTTCTACTGAAGAACAGCAGGACAGAGCCAGCGGTACCCTCCAAAGCACAGACTGGGAAGGGGAAGCATCAATAAAACAAGCATTGCCCTCAGCGATGGGAATGAGAGGCTGTACTTCAGAAATGATTTTTTTTTAACCACCTAGAGTCATACATTTCAGGACTTCTTTTTGTTATTTGGGGTATATGCATACATGCATTTTAAAGGCAGTTGTATACAACAGTGAATTGCTAGTGGTAAGGTTTCACATTTACTATCTAAAAAAGTGATGCACCTCCACAGCTTCAGCTACCAGAAAAAGCAGATAAAAAAACCAAAACCAAAACCACCCAAAGCAAAACACAAACACCCCGACCCTTCATATTCACGTCAACACATTGAGCCATGGGTTGGCATATGCAGAGTCAGAGTCAAACAAAGGCTGTGGGAGTACAATTTAGGCACCCTCGATCTTTGGTGAGTGACAGTCAGAAACCCAGTCTCTGGGCACGTGAAATTTTATTAAAAATTAAGAGATCCAAAGCACAAGCAAAGTATGATGATGCCCAGCATCTTACTTGCTTAGTATCATTGTCCAGGAACCAGCAGACATCAGCAACCACGATGCCATACCTGAACCATATACCTGTACGTATGTTACTCTAAAATGTTCTATCTAAATGAATATATACAACATGTAAATAAAAAAAACCAAAAACAAAGCAGAGAACAGAAAAAGAAAACAAGTACATTTAAGGGATGTTACAGAGTCATACACAGCTGGAAGGTGCCAGAATTTCAAACAGAAATATTCCCCATGTTTTAATAGCAGTAAGAGAAAAACGTAACAGGGTCACTTTTCCCTTAATGCTGCCTATGAGCTTCCATTCTTCTTAAACCTGTGTAGGTATTCTCTATTCAGAGATTTTTTTAGGAAGGTTTTTTTGGCTGCTTGGACAGGGGAGTTTTGTAGCTTTTTTTTTTTTTTTAAGATCTTAAATACTTTGTTTCCCTTCTGTCTACAAAAATCCTTAAAGAGTGCAGAAAAGCATTACTAAAGTAACAAAAAATTTAACAGATTTATTAGCTGATTAATGTTCAGTTGTATAGTCATTGAAGTGTGGAATTTTCCACTGAGCAAAGAAATGTAACAATGAGCTCTTCCTGTTCACGGCTGGCATAGTAGCAGTTTTTTTCCCTTTTTTTTTTTTTTTTAAGAAGTTCTGAATACAAGGAGGCAGCTTACATGAAACAGAACTTAGGTGTCCTCGAGGATGGTTGATTCACTGCTAAATGCTTACAAGAGCTGGAGGAAGGGCAGACGTACGCTACGGCAGACTGTGGTTTCTTCAGATATTGACATTCCAGGACACTGCAACACACCTGTTTGTGCTCACAGCACAGATATAAAGGTTTCTTCTGCAAAATTAACAGTAAATTTGTGACTCCTCCCTCCAAGGAATGAGCTAGGGGAGCCAGGAGAGAATACTGTCTTGCAGAATACAAAAGTTAGGTGCTTACAAAGAGCACCAGGCTTGTACCTCTCGATGCAAGGCTATAAATTCCAGTAGTAAGGGCTGTGAACATTTCTGTACACTTCAAGCATCAAATTTTCATTAACCTGGATTTTTTCAAGTTTCTAAAAATAAAACCTTCTCAATGAAATTTCCACTGAGTTACCAAATGGATCAGTACACAAAATATGCACAATATAATTAAGAAATTATGTGAAGTTACATATCTTGAAATAAAATACAGTGTTAGCTGTTCAGGGTTGTTCCCAAAATATAGCAGTATTCTGAAGTACATATATTTCAACTTTAAAAGCCTTACAGTGGTGACAGTTTAAGGCATAGTATGATCAACATTATTTTATTATAGAAATACATTTCTGTAACAGAATTAAATATATACTTATTTCTAAGGTCCTTCGTATCTGCACAATATTAACCTTGAAATATAATCTTCCTCCCAATTATAATTAACTACTTTACACATACAATTCTGTGTATTTAAAATTACCTTTAGACCAAAAAAAAAAAGACAATACAACCTGTAGCCTTAGATGCAAACAACAACCCTGGCAGTGTAACGACTACAGTACATGGCCTTGCAAAGGTGGAATGTACCTAAAAAGTTTACAAATGCTGTGAAAGCAACATCTCTTTCAAAACTACATTTCCTTTGATGAAATGAATTCTGATCACAAAAGCACTTGGAAAAAGTGAGTGAGCAGTATTTATTTAATGTAACTACGACTCTTACTTGTTATGCATTTTGCCACAAGCCCTTCCTGCTATTAATGCCCTTAAGGAGTTTGAATCTTCTGCCTCTGGAATGCACAGTATGAAACCAGTTTGCAACTGGGAAAAAAAAACCAAAACACCAAACTTCAATTTAATCCTTCCATGTTACAGTTCAGTAAAGCCAAAGTCCTATTCCTTGTTCTTTCTAAGGCACTCCCCCAGAGGGAGTCCTAGTAAAAGATCCAGGGCAAAATATAGCCCATTTAAAGGAAAAAAATCTTTGACACTTTGACGTAAACTTAACTGTTCACTGCGAAAGCCTGTTTGCCTTTCCAGCCAGGAGGGTCCAGTGGACAGCCGAGCCCAGGTCCACCTCAATTTTACAGGTTCAGTTAATAACTTCGGGCAACTTGAATTCCTACAGCAGTAATTCAGAGCACTCAGGCATTTACAGAGTAGCAGCATCAATTCCTATATAAAGCATTTTAGTTTGTCACTGTCTCACAGGGGAATTGAAGCAGAGCTCTTGTTAGAGCATGGGGGAGCCTGGACAATGCCCCATCCATCGCAACAGGGCCAAGCTATCACACAGCAACATTCTGTCATTCTGCACTGAGTCACTCCTGGTTAAGCAATGTCACCCTTCTTCCAGGTAAATAACTTGCTTGCTTTTAATTACACTCTAAAAAAAAAAAAAAAAAAGGCACCAGTTTACATTTAAGTGTTGTACAATCCACAGTGTGAGCTTTGAAAATGGCACTGATCTATTTCAGTTCTTAAAAGAAAAAAGCAAACAAAAATATCTAAAAATAAAAAATAAAAAAAATATTTATACATGTGCACCTAGGTAGCAGATTTACAAGCAAACTTGTGAAGCAGATTTTATTTCAAAATAAAATAGCAGTCTGATCCTGACAGTTACCAAGTGCTCAGTGCTTCCTACTGCAGCCAACGGGAGCTGTGAAGCCTCAGTATCCTTCAGGGCACACCCAAAGTGGTATAATCATAAAAGTCCCTGAAAACAGAAGGGAGGAGGGGGAGGAGGGGAAAAAGAGGGTAGGGAGAAAACAAAAAAAGAAATATTGCTGCAACTGGGGTTGAATGCACTCCGCTTATACTGAGCACTGCTAATCTCTTATTACAAAGCTGTAGCAGATAAGACACCTGGCATCATTCTGGGTATTCCATAGAGAAACTTTGGTTTTAGTGGATGCCTCAAGGTACATATGGCCATCAAAACATTTCTGAAGGAAGCAAAGGAAGTGAAAAATTTCTATAAAGAGGAAGCTACAAAGGATTTTATTTCCTTCTAAGTATTTTTAATTAAAATTGAATTTTAATTAAATTACGATGTGTAAAAAGACAACATTATTTCTAGTTTAGTACTCATAGTTACAATGACTGGTGCCTGCCCCAGATTCCAACAGAGTTCTCTAGTTTCAGTAAGACCACTTGAAAAGCAAAGAAACACTAATTCCCTGAACGCAGAGTGAATAAATGCACAGAAGAAATACCAGAGGATGGAGATGCCTCCAAACTGCAGTGACACACTCTTGCTCTCCTAGCCCCTGACATCGTATACTGGCCTACTTCGGCCCCACTGGAGTTTCAGGAATAGCAATGAAGACAAAAACTTGTCCCATTTAGTCTTGTACTGTACTCCCTGGGGGATTAAAGCACACTGGTTTTAAGAGACAAAGTTGAGAGCACAGACATACCACCTATCATCAAAGTGCACTGTCATATAAACAATGAAGTTACAAAATTTACAGGGCCAAAACAAAACTTTTTATTAGCAAACAAGTAAAGATTCATCATCACTGGTATTAATTTCGGAGAGGGGAGTAGAGGACTCTAATATTGGCACTTCCACAGAATGGCAACAAGCCGCATGAATACCCAAAGGCTCCTCCCGGTATGAGTTAGGGCAACATCGGTTTTGTCCATCCACTTGGATATGAACATTCATAGGGCTGTCTGAATAAGCAGACTCCCACTTTTTTAAGGGTAACCTACACGGCTCTTCACTCAGTGGATGACTTCTACTTAAACTACTGCCCTCTGGGACAGTCCTCCTGGATGCTGACCCTCCATGGATCGTTTCTGTGACACTTTCAGACAAAGGATCTCTGAAAGCCTTTCCTGAATCCGCTTTTCTGGACTGCTTAAGCTCACTGCCAGAGGTCTCACCACCTAAAGATTTATCAGCGTGTCCAGCCTCAGGCTCTGCATGTGCAGCTGTGCAAGTATTCGGTAAGACATTTGAAGGCGATGGCTCTGTGATTTCAGTCTCTGGCTGCAAGCTGCTACATCCAGCTTCTTGTAGGCCCCTGGCTTGGCCGTGGGCATCTGCCTCTAAACTAGGTCCTTCGGGAGAAGGTGGAGGACTCCGAATAGTCCCATCAGCACGGTTGATGATTCCATCACCCAGGGTAGTCTGTGAAGTGCGGGCGGGCGTCAGGAGTGGGATCTGTCCTCTCACCCGAGGTCTGTGGAAGAGTCTGTTCCAGAGCCTGCCCAAGCGCCGCCGAGACGAGCTCCGTCTTGACGAGTGTCGTCTCATCTGCCTCCTCATAGCTGTTCGAATGTTCTGCAGCACAGAAGCCTGTAACACAGATGTAACAAACTATGATTTCACACATACTCAAAAGACTTCTCCTAAACCTTGTTCTTTCCACTAGTATATCCACCTTACCAGAATTCTCAGACTTGATCCCTACACTTCCTTGTTAAATGCGTATTTTCTAATGAACTATTTAAGAATACCAAAGACAGCTCTGCCTGTACCAAAAGACTCTCCCTTGAAGTGTTTCCTTTATGAGTTTAAGCTCTACTTGTCTGCCCAGGAAGATGCTCCACTCACACGATCAGACCACTACTAATGAACCAGACTGCAGACCACTGAGTCCTCTATCATCAGCAATAGCAGAGGATCCTCAAAAGCTGATGACAACAGCACAGAAGAAAGGCCAAGGCAAACTACTTCTCCACTTGCGTAACAAACTACAAGAGCTTTATCACACTAGGAACTGCATCACAGTTGGATACTTTCAACAGAGCACAGGAGATTTTTGAGAACTCAGCAATGAAATAGAAGAATGACTTAATGGCTTCCCAGTGTAATGTATTTGTAAATGAAAAATAGCCCAGAATTTCCAAAAAATGCTGCTAGAGACCTTACTTTCTTATCGCTTCAGGCACATTTACAGTTTCAGCTTGAAAAGCCTTTTTTCTATTTACTTTCTGACCTTTGTCTCTGTTCATTCTATCTTGATGTACAGCAAAACAGCATGTGGTTATCTCACTGCTGTTCCCTAACACGTAAACACATTTAATGCGTTCAAAACTACCCACAGCACCAAGATGCATAACTGTGGTTCTTCAGCTCCAAGTAAAACATACACATTTTTATGAGACTTCCATAAAATTAGCACAGCTACTGAAAGAATACAGTTCCAGATTGATTCTATCTGATTTATAGCAGTTTGGCTGCTGATAGGTTCATTGGCACTTGCGTCTCCATACTTGTGATGCATTGTACACAGGGAAGTCTTCAACTGGGGGGATAAGTCCTTGTGCAATCAGCTGCCCATAGGAAGGTGGAGCTTCCCGCCGCACAAACTCTGCCTCAAGTCGCGTCATCTGGGTCTCAAACGCTCTGGAAACAGAACCAGAGGGAAAACATAGAAGAGAAGTAACAGTCAGTTTGTCCTGCCTCCCTCACATTAATGTATAAAAGCAGTGCAGAGGGCTTCACACTAGCAGCAAAAACGCAAACCTTCAACTAGGCTCCATGAAAATCTTATCAGGATGCTAAAATAAACAAAAGGAGTAAGAGCAGAGGGTATAAGAATCAGTGAATCAAATCAGCAAACTCTTTGGTGCAGTCCCAGGTTGGGCTCTGTGGCAACTGAAGTTTTTTCAGTTGGCCAGCTTACACTAGTAACAGTGATAACTTGTTCAGCAAGGGCCCAAAGGTTATTTTTGGAAAAGACAACATTAAGAACTGGAAACAATCACACAACAGGGGCAGCTTGCAGCTGCAGAGAGCTTTGGCTGTCCTGCCAGAACCGAGGCACTGAGGTTCCCAATATAGCACAGCGGCTGGTTTCCAGCTCCTTAATCATGCAGATTTGATCAGGAGAGAATGTAAAGCACACTGCGCTGAAAACACAAATGGTGTCAGCAGCACGGCACAGAGCTGGTGCACACGACAAGAGATGGGCTTCAGAAAGTCCCTTACGACTGTTTCCCAAAGGGCAGAACCAGGCTTGCACAAACACACAGAACACAGACACAGAAACACACACTATCCATACAGCAAGGCATATAAGGACCGGGGGAAAGGGGCACAGCTCACACCAATGGGAACAGTGGAGGTAAACAACTCCTGCTCAGAACGGGCCCCGCCACTGCAGGACACCGCTTTTAGTAGAACTGAGGACTAGAGTCTTTGGGGAGGGCAGGGGGAGAATTAGTCAGTTCAGATTCAGCAAAGACTTCACTTTAACAGTTCAGCATTCAGTTTTTGGCAGTGCAAGGGGTTTGTTGCAGGAGGAGGAGGTGAGAGAGGAAACTGCTCAAAACAGTTTTGATTTAAGTTAGATACAGGTTCTGCCAGGCTGCACAATAAATGTATATTTCTCATAGGCCATGGAAGAGCTGACATTCCCCTCACTGCTTCCGAAAACCTTAACGACTCTTCTCTAAGCCTAATGCTGTGACTGCTCTTTAATTGTCATCAATTCCTTGGATTGATTTCACAGTATTTTGCAAATTCTCTGGTTAACGATCGACTTTTTTCCCTTTAAACAAAAAGGAAAAAAAACGCTACAGCTACTAAGGCATCATAAAAGCAAGATGCTTACCTGTATTCCCTGGTCCTCAGAGAATATAATTTAAATGCACAACCCAGTGCTATCACCAGCAGCAAGCCACACACAAGACTCCCAATCAGAGCAGCTGTGATGACCTTCCTGGGAACGATCACCAGGCAGTTATGTTCATCGCTTCCATCCTGGCAGTCTTCTTGGCCGTCACAGCGCCAAGTCTCAAAGATGCACAGATTTGTACCACAATGGAAGTTTCCTGGCTGGCAAGTAAAGCAGTTTTTTTCATCCGAGCCATCTGGGCAGTTCTTTTGGTTATTGCAGCGGTCAAGTATTGAGTAACAAAGCCCACTGTTTCCTTCACATGGGTATTCATTCTTCTGGCAAGCGGGACAGTTCTCCTCGTCCTTGCCATTTGGACAGTGCCACCAGCCATCACAATGCTGCTTATCTGTGAAACACTCCTCATCGCTTCCACAAGGGTGTTCCCAAGGAAGGCAATAGCCTTTCACCTGATAGGTTGCATTGAACCCATGGCCAGTGCTCTTGGAGCGGGCATGATATGAGACAGTGAGCTGGCCCTTTGATGACTCCACACTCACCGAGTGCCTATTGTTGTGGTACGAAAATGTTTGCATTAATTTGTCACCTCTCTCTTCAATGCCATCATACACCTTTACATAGTCGTTGTAGCCTAACTGCAAATCAAGCTGCAACAGGACATGTCGATTATCTTGTGTGTCCACGTACCACGTGCAACGAAGGTCTGATCTGCTGTGATCAGCACGGAATAAGTCTGGGGAAGCAAAAGATCCATAAAAATTACCCAGCCTTTTGCCACAGGAAAGATCAGGACAATTATCTTCGTCCGAACCATCACTGCAGTCCTTAACTGAATTACATCTCAGCTCGTTCATCAAGCACTTGGTGGAGTGGGCTGCACTGCACTGGAACATTCCTGAGGGACAGATGCTGGATGGAGGCTCTGTCGGAGGGACAGTGCAGTTTCTCTCATCCGAGTTATCACCACACTCATCCATGGAATTACACTTCCAAGTACTGGGAATACACTTTCCGTTTGCACAACGGAATTCATCTGACTGGCATACAGCCTGACCTATCTTTCCTGTGAAAGAGGGCAAGGAGAAAAAAGTCAGTATCAAAACTTTTAGAACCATCTGATGTCACTTTTTAATGTCTACTACCCTAGAATCATAGAATCATTAAGGTTGGAAAAGACCTCTAAGATCATCGAGTCCAACCGTCAACCCAACACCACCAGGCCCACTAAACCATGTCCCTAAGCGCGTCACCTACACGTCTTTTAAATACCTCCAGGGATGGGGACTCAACCGCTTCCCTGGGCAGCCTGGTCCAATGTTTAACCACTCTTCCAGTAAAGAAATTTTTTCTGACATCAAAACTAAACCTCCCCTGGCGCAACTTGAGGCCAATTCCTCTCGTCCTATCGCTTGTTACTTGGGAGAAGAGACCAACACCCCCCTCGCTACAACCTCCTTTCAGGTAGTTGTAGAGAGCGATGAGGTCTCCCCTCAGCCTCCTTTTCTCCAGGCTAAACAACCCCAGTTCCCTCAGCCGCTCCTCATAAGACTTGTTCTCCAGACCCTTCACCAGCCTCATTGCCCTTCTCTGGACACGCTCCAGCACCTCAACGTCCTTCTTGTAGTGAGGGGCCCAAAACTGAACACGGTATTCGAGGTGCGGCCTCACCAGTGCCGAGTACAGGGGCACGATCACTTCCCTACTCCTGCTGGCCACACTATTTCTGATACAGGCCAGGATGCCATTGGCCTTCTTGGCCACCTGGGCACACTGCCGGCGCATGTTCAGCCGGCTGTCAACCAGCACCCCCAGGTCCTTTTCCGCCAGGCAGCTTTTCAGCCACTCTTCCCCAAGCCTGTAGCGCTGCATGGGGTTGTTGTGGCCAAAGCGCAGGACCCAGCAGGTCACAAGTCAATTGGTCAGGACAGTACACTTCAGAAATACTGTTAAAAAGCAAAGTGGAAATAATATCAGTGTTACCACGCTAACACCTTACAGTCATCAAGACTGGCCCAAGACTCCTGTCAACAAAAAATACTACTGTCTTCAAGTTTTGCCAGAGAGAGTATAAGTGAAGCCAACAAAACTGTAAGATTTTACCTCTAATATAAGAAAGGCGAAATCCCTGAGCCTGTCCTGAGCTTGATGCATCTGAGTGAAAAAATATCCAAACATGGTCCCTTGCAGAGATGAAAGACGGAGGTATGGAAGATCCACACACTTTGTACTCCTCCCTCTTGGAAGATGGGCCAATCATCAACCAGTCTACTGCACACTTCTGAGAGTCTTCCAAATCAAAGTTCTTAAAACTGTTAGGAACAAAAGAAAACACAAGTTACAAAGAGGAGATGTATCTGGAACAAAGCCAAACAGAGAAAAAACAGACTGTAACAGCTGACTTTCTGCACCAAGCAGTGCTGACGTAAAGAGATCACATTCAAAAATAATGAAACACCTACAGTATCTTGAGTACATATAAACAGAGCACTCAAATTCACCCAATTTGGAAAAGCACCCATCTCATGGGCGTAAACAGCATGCCAAGTAGCTCCAAAAGCTGAGAGGATGATTCCTTTTTTACTCAGAGTCCTTAAACAAAACTACTTCCTAAAATACAGGTATGAGTAAAAGCAAAATTCCAGAATACATTATACAGAAGGTAGATTAATTTCAGCAGTCTTTTCCAAACTTAAAAGCTATGAAATTATAAGATGAGAGGACAGACTACTGTCTTGGAAAAAGAACAATAGGGAGCAGCACAAAGAACCCTAAAGGGATAAATAGGAGAGATAAAAATCAACTCTTCAAGCTATGGATAGGCAGGGAGAGGGCAAGAAGAGAACAGGACGGCAAGGGGTGGAAATGGAACCTAAAGTCTAACACTGTTATTTTTTAATTCAAAGACTAAAATTTTCTCTTTCTGGGAATGCAAACGCAGAGCAAACAAGCCTATAACCTTTTACAGTCAAACCTCCAGCCCTTCCACTGACTCAAGCCCAGTGATTATTCAATAGTAGCCTACCTAGTGCAAAGAGGTGCCCCAATTGTTTGCAGAACACTGAACACAACCAGGTAATACTCCCTATCCTGTAGCTTGGGAACCATATAGGGTATTTGTTGTCTGATGAAACAGATTACATTTGCATTCAGTAATCTGCAATGACAATAGCATTGCACAGAGAAGCACACTCATTAGGAAAGGGCACACTGTTCAGAACACTTAGAAATAAATTTGGTCCTCTTTCATATAACTCAGCTACAATATTAACTTACTCAAGCCCAGTGATTATTCAATAGTAGCCTACCTAGTGCAAAGAGGTGCCCCAATTGTTTGCAGAACACTGAACACAACCAGGTAATACTCCCTATCCTGTAGCTTGGGAACCATATAGGGTATTTGTTGTCTGATGAAACAGATTACATTTGCATTCAGTAATCTGCAATGACAATAGCATTGCACAGAGAAGCACACTCATTAGGAAAGGGCACACTGTTCAGAACACTTAGAAATAAATTTTGGTCCTCTTTCATATAACTCAGCTACACAATATTAACTTGGTAGAAGTTTGTGCATACTCTGTGCAAATACCTAGACAGACGTTTCAGAAAGGCTGAAAAGCTGCTACGAAATACAGACCTCCTTCCACAAAGAATAAAAAAAGAATTCTTTGAAAAAGATAAACTGAAAGATAATTTTCTGGTATCACTGTGTATTTACAAAAAGCTGTCAATGCCTGCCAGATCTTGCTGTTTGAAGGTGAAAGGGAAAAAGCAGCAACTACATAAACTAGCCAATTCATTTAAGCGGGAGATCCAGCCTACACACACCTGTAGGTTCTACCAAACGTACTGGCTTAATAACGCTCAAAAAAAAAATTATCAGCAAGAGAATGAGAAGAGAGCACTGAAAGTGTTAAGTTAAAATGGAAATTAAGAGATGTCCAACAACATATGTGCAGGCAAGGACAATCCACCCAGAAATATGTCCTTCCTCTTTTCTAACTCTTTTTCTCCCACCACGCTCTATGAGTCTTCCCAGCTGGGAAGAAATATTCCCACACCACCTAACTCTTTGCTATAAGCGATCTCATCAAGCTTCTGAAACCAGCATATTTTGCAAAGAAGTTTTAGATGACTGTGCAGTCAGAATGAAAAGATTTAAGTATTCAGCCATGCAAAGGAAAACTAAAGAGTATCTGTCCCAGGTGTTCCGCAAAAAACTTTTTAATGACTAAGGAAGTGTATGAACAGGCACTACAGCATGAAAAGGAATTATACAAAGCATCAGTGAAACTGTGGGCACCCACGTAATGTCTGTTGCAAGAGATGTGAGACAGCATTGCTCAGCTACCACACTGGTTTTGCTCTCTGTAACTCATTTTGGCACCAGACATCAACAAGGGTTTCTATCATCTACTTGCAGGATTGTTTGTAGGGTTTTCTTGTCATCAAGACTTTTTGGATAAGTATTAGAAATACCTATCTGCCCAACAACAAAAATTTTTAAGAAAAGGGAACAGTCACTAAATCAAGAAATGGAAACTCAGAACTGGGAAGGGGTGGGGGGGAATGACTAGAAAACTTCTGCTTCTGCTATACAAACAAGATCATTTACTAAATCTTTTGATCTCTTACTTCTATAGTTATTTTAGATGTACCAGGATCAACCTTAAAGAGCTAAACAATTTGTTCTCCTACCCTACCCAGTTCCCAGCACTCCAGCCAAGTCCCACATCCACTCATTTTCCCCACTGCTGAAAAGAGCTACTTTTGTCTATCAGGTAAATAATTCACCCATAGTGTTGTTACACAACGCAGACTGCACACACCCAGGGGAGAATTTGCCTGTATAATAAGCTGTCTGCACCTTACATTAAAATGCATTTATTTCGGGGGGGAGAAAAGAAAAGGTTTAACACTTTTAAGATTCACACAAAGGAAGAGTACAGAAAAGTCAGCTACATGCACATGCCTTGTTTACAAACTCTTTTGCAGATGATAGCAATACCTCTGGAGAGCCTGCATTTGTGTATAATCAACAATATCTTCTACTTACACCTTGAGAATGTAGTATTGTGCATTCCTAATAAAGGGCTTTTTTTAGTTTATCATAAAGGGTGTGGAAGAAGAAGAAACTTTAGTCCCACCTTCCAAAGCAGAAGCACAGGCATACAGACGATAACTGATTTTCGAGTATTAGTTGTGGATCTGAAATAGATTCAGAGCAGAATCCCACACTTCTCCACTACGAAATCCAAGCTTTGACCACAAAACCAACTGAGTACAAGGGCGACGAGGCAGAATAGACTTGCAAGGAAGTATAATCTTTAACAGCCTCCCTGAAAACACCATGCCTCTCAGGGACGCACAGCTACTGAAACAAATGCCTTGGTATTCGAAAAAAGGCAATACAGAATAGTCACAAGAATGTACTCTTTTTAAAAGCCAATAAGCATCTTAGTCACAGTTGCCTAGGAGGTTCAAACACCATTGAATAAACACAATTTCTCTGAAAATATGTAATAGATACCATAGCAGTTATAAAATTTCTTCTTCTAAGGGCAAAAGCAAAGTCAAAGCAATTATATTCTACCTCATGCAAACTAAACAACAGACATATTTTGAACAAATTTTGCTTTGACTAAGGCATTGTCACTCCACTCCAGCATCCTTTTAAGTTATATTGTCTCCACTGGAAGCAAATTTTGCCCCATTTAAATTGATGGTGATTTTACTCAAGACCAAAAGCATGATATATTTGAACGAGCCATCAACAAATCTCAACACAAAAAACCCTCCTTTGTAAAGAAATACAAAACAACATGAATACATACACGTGCACGTATAAATATATATAATTGGTTTTCACTTTATAACGCATTAGCAACAACAAGGTTTTGTGTCAGAAGTTTCTGCCACACTAATCTGACATTAAATAGCCCACTGATTTATTTTACCTAAGAGTCCTGAATACTGCGTTCAACCTCTGCTACTTCATTTCTTTCATAATCTGTAATTAGATCTAGTGCTGCTGTTGTTACAGTCTTCTGAAGAATAATTTAATCCTCTACCCACAAAATAGAGCGCAGAGACATTTACTTATTCAGTTGAACTTTCTCAAACTGGAATGCAAATTTTTCTGTCAAAAGGATTAGCCCAATGGTTGAATGATTGAGGGTATACAGTGGAAATAAGGGACGAAGTCTTGTGCTCCTACTGCTTGTAGGACTGTACAAACATCTTATAGTCTTTGGAAAAGTACTGAATGAAGTCTGTAGATACGGTTCTTGAGGGAGGTCTCAGGCCCTTTGTATCCAAACCCCACATCATTTTCTGTGATTAAAACAAGAAACAGCATCAAGTTGTACTGAAACAGAGAGTACTAATAGACAATGTCATCCACACCTCACGCCGCACCAGTCAGTACTGCAGCATTTTTAAACATCTTGGGCAGGGAAGCACAAGGTTTGGGAGGAAAAGCGAGAGAAGGAACAGAGGCTGCTGGTCTGTTCGGCCACTAATCCACTCCAGCAAACCACTCCGATGGGTCTGAAAGAGCGGGACGTGAACCCAGAGGTCCATCCTACCAGGCAAGCTGCAGTGCACAGTGGCACTAAACTCCAGCCTTTGCACCCCTCAAATACAGCCTTCCCCACCGCACTGCAGCTGCTCCTTGGGATGCAAATATCCCCCTTCACCCACAAGCTTCACTTATAGGGCAACACTCCTCTGCTCTGGCATCTCAGTGCTGGACAACAAAGGGAAGGAGAACCCAGCTTTCCTCCAGGCTTTTTTCCTCTCCACAACCAGAGCACACAGCCCAAGTTCAGAGGGCAGGGAGAGGAGGAGCACTCAGGCACAATACTGCAGGAGTCAAATGATGGTGTTTCGAGTACTTAGAACTGCAATATTAACAAAGTACAACATCCATCACTAAAACACAGAACATCCTTTAAAATGCTTTGGCCCTTAGGCTGTTCTCACTGTTACCTGTGGATCTCCAACACAATACAGGAATAGAGGAGGAGACTGGTGTAAAAGATCAAAATTATCGGACCAAATTTTGCAGGTTTTCTTTCTTCTGAAAGATGCTATTCAAAAGCACTAACTCCAGTTACCTTGCTTTTGGAACATCTCTCCCACAGCTAATTCCTTTTAAAAAAACCTAGATGTATACAAAAGTACAAGAGTTTAATAGTCTATTAAACACTGGAAGCATTCAAATTCTGAGAATCAGAACAACTCAACGTGAACTGACAAATACAGCACTAAATCTGTTTTTACAGAATTCTGCAGAAATACGTAAAATCATCTGATTTTTCTTTCAGTGGTATGATACTGAAAAGAGGTTACCTCCTACACTGAGCAGGACTCCAGGAGCTTACAGAAAATTACGGGATCAGCCATATATCAGATCTTGCCTGTAAAATTACTCAAGCGAAGCAACAGTAGCCTACAATGATATTTTCCTATTAACTGTCAAGTATTTTTATGTTGCTGGACTGAACTTCATTAAACCAGCTTATCAGAAATACTCATTTACACTCTGAAAATATGAAAAAAATGTGCTACCTGCAAAATTAACGCTTAGCAGAGCTAAGCTTTTTGCCATCTGCACTGAAAGGAGCAGTAGCAGCTAGAAAAAAAAAGTACTTCTATAAATAATGTAGGGAATTCCCTACAATCCTCTTAGTAATTTAAGCACGAGCAACTACAGATTAAAGCAAAAAAAAAAGCATTCTGAACTGGAAAAGGACAAACATGGGATGCTCAGGAAAATGAACCAAAAAAGCGTACACTGTTGGACACCCAGCAGATGTAAAATCTGAATGAAAGTAATTAGTAAATAAATAAAAAAAAAATAAATGTCCAATTTGGCCCTCTAAACTCATTAAAAAATGGGAGAATAAATATTATGGGTAGATCAGTAGAGCACAGTCCCAAAATAAAACAGACCAGCCAATTAAGCAAGAAAAGTTACTTCTATTTGCCAACCTCTCACAGCAAGTGCAGACTGTGAACAACTGATGACTTAATTGACTCATTAAAAACTTCTGCTTAACCACTAAAGCACAAGGATCTGGAAGTCAGGAAAGCTCTATTCTACTCCCAGCTCCCAAGCACCAGCTAACTGTGTAACCTTAGGCAAGAGACATGGCGGCTGTGTTTTCAAAAGCTGAGCACAAATGGAATAAATGGCTATTATGAGTTTTTTTCAATTAACATCAAGTTCTGAAACACTGTGAATTTGGTAAAGAGACTATGAAGCAGTCTCTGTAATTCTTCATACAATTACAGACAGCAAGCCTTTACATGACCAGGCCTCAGTTTTACTCAGAAATTGAAACTCAGATGGTATCTGAAAATTTCTTTTTTCAAAGCCAGTGACATGAATCACTGAAGTGAAAGCCAATGAAGGTGATCCCCCCCCGCCTCAATTAATAAGAGGCAGCTTGAGTGGATCACCAAGTAGATCACTTTTCAATACTCTTGAGTTCTGAACATGGAGAACATTTTACTCTCAGTCCCATAAATTCCTGTAATAAGACGCAATTCATTTATACTCTGCCCACATCAGGTTAATTACAACCATCAAGTAACAGCAACTGCTAAACAAAAACAATTTTGATCTTTTTCTCAGATATGAGGAAACATACACATATAAAGCCTGTAAAGGATGGTACAAAGGCAGTTACTGCATATGACATCTTTACCTGATCTTACAGGATTTTTATGTAGTCTTCTGTGAAAACAGGCATAAAAATAGAGAAAATGGGAGGAAAAATCAAGTAGTTTCCAAAACAATAACTAACAGACTGATTACCTGAATCTAAAGTGACACAACATAGTCCTGGAAAACGGTAGCTACACACTTGTTCCCAGGTCTCAACAGCACCATTCCATCAGACACACAATCTTGGAAGAAAGTATTGAAACGTGCATCATTAGCAGAGAGGTGTAAGCACAAAGAATATGTATTTTCTGTTCTTGTGAAGTGTCCCCCAAGGATTTCTAAAAAGTAAACTATAAAGCAAAACAATAAGCATGGAAATGTGAGGATATGAAGAAAATCAGTACACACGCATGAGAGGTAGATATTAAGACAAAGCTTCTAAAGGACATGCCCACAGGAGCCAGCATCTTACATCCACATGTAGATCTGGGCACTGTTCTATTGAAAGCTGCTGAATAATAGGTTTATAAAAAATGACTACCGACTGCAAATGTTTTAGAAATCAAAACTACGTTCAATTGCAATTTTACCCCTTAATGACTCCTGCTGTATCTCAAATATGATGCTTATATAACATTGCTGTCTTACTGTCAATGAGAATTCAAGATCAAAGGAAATGCATTCAGCATAACGTAACATAAAGGAGGTGGGGTTTTTTTTTTTAAACCTTTCAAAATCCAGATGTTATCACAAGAACTGTGTTTGATTTTCCTAGGAAAATTTAAAAAGCTACTCTTTTATGCCCTTATCAGCACACTGTTAGGACAAGAAGCATACCCAACTGTTAAGAGGAAAAAATGTTTGTATTTGAACCCTCTTTCCCAGTTTGCCTATATCATGCTAGCCTAGGCAAGTCAGCTGCTTCTTTTACGTCCTTGGCATTCCGAGGGTTACAACCTTCTAAAGAAATCCTCCGATGCTGTAACATTTTGCATTTCACACACTGGAGTGAGTCATTCCAAGCACATTTATAGTCAGAAATGTAACACCACAACACTACTCCCTAGGATGTAAACACATAGCTCCCATTGTTTGCATGTGCATAGAAGGGCAGGATATGGCAGTGAGAGAAAACAAACCCATTAAGAAGAAATCTTTCAAATCATATTGCTATGCACACATGTAAACTGTATATGCACATTATTACCAGTTTCCTCATCCTACTTTCCTTTATTTCTTTAGCCTCTGTTACACTCTTACTTGCAGAAGAGAATCCTAATTCTAACTGGGAGCTCTGAGACGTTTTCATAGCATAAATTGCAGTACTATTCTCCAGAGCCAACTCCTGTGTCTCATTTATATGCTTCCTCAGAGTTTCCAACAATCTCTGCTTTGAAACAAATTCCCCAAGTCCAGTACAATTTAATGGGGTTTAAAAGCGTGTTTCTATTTATGGATCTCAAATGCTGGCAGGTATCTACTTCCTTACTTTTGATGAGTAGTTCCTATTTTGAACTACGGATGGTGGAGCCCTCCTATTATTCCATCTGTGGCAGATTTGTTTTTAATTGCTGAGCATCTGCAGTTGAAGAGTTTTGCAGTCCTTTTAAGCAGCTGAGCAAAGAATGAGCAGATGGTGTTAAATACAACAGTACTAAAAACCAAACAAAAACCCCTTTCCTAGGTTTGCTTTTTTTTTCCTTTTTTTAAATAAGAAATTCTTGGTTTAAGAAGGACACTACAATTAGCCCAGAGATTAAGCACATATTCACAATATGCTGATATTATAGCCTAAACATTCTTAACAAACGTTTGCTTTTTTTTTTTTCCTTTTTTTAAGTAAGAAATTCTTGGTTTAAGAAGGACACTACAATTAGCCCAGAGAAATTAAGCACATTCACAATATGCTGATATTATAGCCTAAACATTCTTAACAAACCATTTGTAATAAATTCTAGTCTTTTCTGAATAGTTTTTTTATAGAATGAGCAGAAGTTGTGCCACAAATGCTAACTATTATTTAATTCTGTTGGAAATAAGTATTAAGCAGAAAAGCATGTGTCTTTTGGTTAACAAGTAACAATAAGCAATTATTATCTTCAACTGTCAATTAAACATAGCACCATTTCAAGGCATTACAGGAAAAGCCATTTTTGCTCTAAGAATTTTATGTATCCCACTGAGGCTGTTCCAGGTTTTATAGCCTTCACCTATTCCTATTTATAAGCAATGAAGAGAAGGGGGACTATTTAGTGTGAGTAAATATATCACTGTTTCCCACCTCCTCATCTATCAGAGGTGGATGAAATCTCACACAGGTGTTGTGAAGATAAATATGTTAAAAGACTACAAGTGACTTGCATATGTAATAATGGATGTCAGAAGTAGCCTACAGAAACAAGACACAGTGGAACATTTCTAAAATGAGAGAGGTGCCCAACCTGCAGTCATGCTCCAGCGTAATCAGCTTCCTTTGACCATTCAGTAGCTCTAACAAACAGCCTCATACTGGTATATCAGATAAGAACTTGCATTTTTTTTCATTTCAGCAAAGCAATCCTTTATCTCCACAGAGTATCAAACCGTACCTAATTGTTATCATGTCTCCACGATCTCCTTGAATGTACCAGCTGCAGTTTACAGCTGGAGGATAGTTCAATGGCCAAGAAGGACTACAGATGACTCCCCGTCTCTCTGTGTGCTGTTCCAGTTCTCCACTGCAAGCAGCTGTTAATAAGGGGGAAAAAAATATTATTGTTAATGCTTTGCCTAATCAACAATTCACATTAGCTACAAGAGCTTTCATCAATTTCTGGGGATTGCAGACAAACACGAGTCAACAGTTTTATCCTCTTACTGCTTTCTTCCCTGCCCCGGTTTTTAATTAAGACACCCACTCGTAAGTGTAGGTAAGCATAACCTGCATTTCAATGCAGGATCAATCAATAACCTTGTATGAATCTACCAAAGGCTACAATCAATATTACTGCATGGATCTGCCAAGAGGATGTAATACAGAAATCCTTCTTACCAGCTTCCCAAAGCCTGGGTACGTCACCCAGCAACTGAAGAAGTTCCATATTCAGTGTAAAGGATCTAGAAGCTCATTTTGTTGTAACATGTTCCTGGACATGTTGTTTATTCTCCTAACCATATGACAGACCTGAAGAGTTTGTAATGGTTAAAAAAAATCTCCAACAAGAAAGAAAAAAGTAAACTGGACTCCGATGTCAAATGTTTTCATTGAACATTACTAAGTACTCTAAATTCCTTCTGAACTCCCATAGGTAGCAGAAATTTTCCAGACAGGGAAAGGAGCAAACAGGGTTAAATAAAGCTCAATATTTTCAAAGCACTTTCAGATCTTCCTATGGAAAACAGCAGGCCACTTAAGGCTACATCAAATACTTACAATTTGTAATTAAGCAATTCAAAAATGAAAGTGAAATGTTCCAAGGACAAGTGGGAAAGCTGTTCTGATGGGAAAACGTAGTCTCAGCAGACTACAAGTGGGGAAATTCTGTGTAATGCAATAGCTATTCTGAACATTCTCCAAAAATATTTTTAAAACTATTTTTAAACCAAATGACTATCTAGAGCATGACTTGTGGATTGCAGCTGAATATTCCAATTTTTGACAGAAGCTTACTTTCTCGTAGCTTAAAAAGGTGGCAAGGAAAAAAAAGGTTGCCTATACCTCAAGTTTCCTCATACGCATACGTGTCCAAATATACTGTGTTATAAATCACAGATTTACAGTATTGCTTGAAATTCAGCTACATAAATGCATCATTTTCAATTCACAGTCAGGATCAGACTAAGCTGCACTGGAGGGACGGGGTGAAGATGTGCCAGCAAAGCTGCCTGGCTGCAATCAAGTCAGGTGGCAGGGCTGCCTGCAGAGCTCCTGGCTGGGTCTGGGGCCAGGCTGCAGTATTCCCCCACCAGTAAATCTGTGCCTGGCACTATTCTGTTTGTTCACAGTAAGCACTTTTGAAGTGAGAACCACAGGAATATAAAAAGCATGAGGTGAGTAACTTACCTGAGGCAAAACATATAAAAAGCCATTATTTTTACTCTCCAAGCAGGGCATTCCACTGAAACGTATGCATATAATTCCTACTAGTTTAAAAGGCCACAAAAGCATACAGAATACACAAATACATGAAAACATCTATTTTCCAAACAAATATTTTGCAGTAAAGCAGTTACGAAAAACAAGAACATCTTTGTTATCACATTTCTAAAACCAGAGAGGCTCCACGCTAGATGCTGGCAAAATACTGAGATGCAGATTCAATTACGGAATTATAAAAGCAAATCTAAGGTCCACGGGACTTTTCAACTCCAGTTCTCAGTTTGTTTAGGTCTACAAATGTGCTCCTCCACACACTTGTCACTGCATCAACGTATCAGAGCAGCATAAGAGGACCTAGAGCTAGCAACCACTTAAAAGGAGCTGGAAAGACTGCATTTTGTAACTGCCAGATTACGAAAACTTCTCAATGGGAAGGAAACAGAATGCACAAAGCAGAAAGAGCAAATACACCAGACAGCACTATCCAGAGGCTTCCAGCAACAGTTCTGCAAATATTTCTGTTGTCCTTGTACCAAATACTGTTCTGGATTAATATCCCTTATTCATAGTCTATGCATTAGCACACAGAACAGAATCATAATTACACAAAGCTTATTTTAGTTTCCATTCTGAGGAAGCCCCATTGACATGCGTGACTCCGCTATTCATAGTCTATGCATTAGCACACAGAACAGAATCATAATTACACAAAGCTTATTTTAGTTTCCATTCTGAGGAAGCCCCATTGACATGCTGGTGACTCCGCATGAGCACTTCCACTCACACATTCATTAGTGCGGTTAAGCAGAGCTTTTATTCTCCCAAATACTTGTTTCTCAGTTTTAGGAAGTATTTACAAAGATCCTGAGCAATAGTTATTTGTAGTATCCCAGCTTTTTTTGAGGTAAGATCACTAGCATTTTTTCTTTTGCAATAATGTATAGTTTCCTAACTTGTAAGCAGTGGATCTGATGTAACGTGACAGTTCAGGTTCTCAGTGAGAAATGCTTTTTCTTATTAACACTGTACATCTGCTACGAACATGGGACATGGAAAGAAGAACGGACAAAAGAAAAAGATTTTCCATTTTAACAGAAGAATTGTAGCTGTAAAAATCTAAGGACATAAGCAAGGTAAGGGCTGCACTGACACTATATGCCATTTTGGGCAGTTCATCTGGCAATGGTCGTTGTTGCTCAATATTGTCCCATAGCTTTACCCCTCTGACACACAACAACCATTTCAGACTTGCCCTACTCAAAATTAAAAGGACAACTGCTTTGCTTTTACAAAGGCTCCTGATTCGAACGGACCACTAATCTGAATCCATATTGCCCAAACATAATTACGCTATTTTAAGGATATATCCACAGTCCCCTAAACCTACTGGAGCAAACAGGGGACACACACCCATCCACCCCCCAAAACTACTACTGTGTTTACCCAAACCTCACTTATTTGCCTGATGCTTCTGATGCCTTTCACTTCCCATCAATGCTCATTACTACGGTATTTGCAATAAATCAATAGATCTCCTTCCTAACCAGTCATCTGCCTCTTTACTCCTTGTGCACTGACTACTGTGTGGCAGACAAGGTGAAGTATCCAAGCACTGCTTTCAGCAGCTGTTCTTTCACCTACATACATTTTGAAAGAAAAACCTGTACTAAACAAAGCCTTCAGTGCTGGCAACAAAACAGAAAAACCACACAAGGGCACAATTTCATACTGTTGGCGTTTCAGTGTCAATAAAGGGGCCCCACTTCCCTCCTCAGCTCCTGGCCATGAAGTTCGCAGAATCACATACATGCATAAGTATTGTGTTATTAAGTTGGGCTTCAGCATGACAGTGTGATTCCTTAAGGAAAATAAACAAAAGCGTTTTCAAATTGCCAAAACATCTAAAGGAAAGGGAAGTCTCTAAATAGAAAGGTACAGTCCTGGATTCTGAAGGCCTTATCATCAGCGACAACACGAGAAGAGTGGTGACAACATTTTTTCAACAATTGTTCTGTAACTCTTTTTCTGCAGCCTTTCTGCACAAAGCCAGAAGAAAAGTGAAAACCCAATTTACTAAAAGCCCCAAACGGCTTACATTTTCCACATTTAGGATTACTGAAGAAACATAAGGGAATACCAATCCCTGGACTGGCAAACCAACCCACCGAAAAATCTTACTGGGATGGTGCTTTTAAAAAAAGAAGAATTCTCAAGACAGACAATAATGAATCTTTTATAGATTAAAAAAAAAAACCTTTAAACAAATGCTAGAAGAGGTTTGAGTTCAGACAGTTTCTGTCAAGCAGGTATAAATCTTAATGAGGCTCTTTCTGTAATAATCAAATGGATTTCTTCTACCGTAAACAGCAGTAGATTCCCCCTGCCAGTTAAATACGCCACAAATACTCGCAAGAAAGTTTCCAAAACTTTACATGAATAATATCACTCCTATTTTTGCAAAAGGGACTATAACAGAACAGACGTCGAGCTCCACCAGAGGACAGCGCTGGGGGCACTAAGCTGTGCAGGAATAAATTTTCAGATGATCCTAGAAGAAAATAAATCCTGCAGTTTCGCACTCCTCTGCAATGCCCCGGGGTGTGCCCCAGTCCCAAGGGACACATCCCAACCATCTGCTCTGGGATAAAGGATGGTTTGCACCTGTCACAAGGAACCTTCGCTCAAAACCAAACGCTTGGCAATATACCCTTCCTCAGTAGCTATGTCAGGGTCAGCAGGAAACTCTCCCCGAGTTCTCCAAATGCTCCCTCAAGGAGGGCTTGCACACATTGCTTAATGCAGATCCCTTACGCCTGAGGAGAAAAAAAGGACTTAAGGCTCCCCTTCACTTTATCCAGTCTCCAGCAGGCTGCTTCTGCCCCCGATATCAGAACCAGCAAAGGCACAGCCCAAGGGTTCAACTTGCTGATCTGACAAAATCTGAGCTTGCGCTCCGTTGGATCAACAGCCTGAACTGGCTCACTGCGAACCTGGGGAAAGGGGGCTCAGGGGGATGACTGCTCCCTGTCAGCAGCAGCAGCTTTTCTGGCTTAAAGTCGTTGTACAAATACAGCTGAGATGGTGGCTTGACCTGCATTCTCCAGAACTCATTATTTCTCCTATTACCTGCTTTCTGAAAAGAAACCGTGCTATACCTTGTCATAGAGATCGACTCTGTAATAAGCTGCTTTGTCAGGACGTGTTTAGGACAGCAAGCATTCCTCCCAACTTTTAGCAGGGCTCCTAAGGAACATCTCCTGCGAGATGATTCCTGGCAGGGTCATCTGCCTTACGACTGCACTATCCTAACCTGTTATCCTCCAACACACAGGTAAGAGAAGCTACACATGGATCACACTATTGCAATGACCTTTTATGATCATTTTTCTCCCCCGCTCCAGTTACGCTGTCAGGAGACAAACTATATCAACACAAGAAAACATGAAGGCTACAGTACTCTGAAGTTTTCAGCATACTTGAAAGAGTAAGAGCTAAATGTTACAACTCTGCTTCTAGCAAAAGAACAGCATTAGAAGGCAGCAGAGCCAACTGGATGAAGCATTATATATCTCAGACCGAGACAGTATCACCAGTCTAGGCCAGCCACTGTGTAATTACTCAAGTTACACTTTGTGAACTCATATACCATACAGCCAACGGATGGCAAACTCCATCAAAAGCCAAAGAACCATCCAGGCAGAACGGACTAGGACACAGATGACATTCTGGATTTTTTCCAATGAAAGCATGGAAATACTATGTTGCAAACAACACGTGTCCTATATGGTTCATCCACACTTCCCCTAAGCTAAATTTAAGGAAGTTACCTAATCAGAAAATTACTACCTTTTCCCGATTTAAACCTTCTCTCAAACCCCCACGTTGACCTGAATGCTCAAGCTCCTATGTTAATCAACCCACTGCCTTAGAATTATTTTCGTGTTTTCCCATTTCCTTTCCTCCTGTTTCCCTTATTTGGTTTTTCTTTTAACTGAAGTTGCAACCTCTTTGGGCATGAAGTATGCCTACCAACGTGACTGTGGATTGACAGGCACAAGAGGGCCCTTACAACTAAGAGGGCCCTGATTGCAATGTTCCCGTAATGTCAGTAAGTCACATTAATGCTATGGAGAAGGAAATTACGCTGAGTGCTGTGATTCTGGTTGAATTTCCACTTTGACATTCATGAGACATTTTTAACATTCTTGTTTTAGCTCCCCCAGGAATGGGCCACTGTCCCTGGCTTGATATTCCCAGGCACGTTTCCTAAACATAGTTTTCCCCTGAATGTATCAGCACATACTATGACCTTAGCCTCAAGCTTATGATTTTTTCTTAGCACAGTGACACTGGTGGAGTCTATAACCCCAGGAATACTTAGAAGTCCTAAACTTCCTAAAATGTCACTGTTACTCTCTCTCAAACAAAGGTCATACTGTTTCGGTAAAAGATCTCTTTGCGTGGGGAAGAAACAGTAACAACCCAAAAGAACAGTAAATACAAATAAGAAAAGTACGTCTTACCTAACGAGGTAACAGCACTTTCTATTTTCCCAGTCAGGAAGAGATTCACTGTGTAAAGACAGAAAAAGAATGTTGATACAGGTTCCAGTGGCACAGGGTGGCAGTCAGTAGTTAACCATTTCTAGGTGTTTGCTGGGGTGTTAATATAAATGCATTGCAGTCTTCCGACAAGAACTCTGCTTATCTACACAGGCAAGTCATGTAATCAACTATTATCCTTCACTGTAGCTACGAAAAAAGTCAACATACAATGTTAGTTTAGTCTCTGTCAAATACGCTACCTAAAGAAACAACTGCCAATCTATTCTAGGTTGTCTTCTGCAGGTTTTTTTTTTAATTGGGGAAGACAGAAGAACAATTACACTAAAGCATTCATCATCACAGCTAGTCACTTTACCTGCTTAAATGCTGGAAAATAACTGAGATTATTATCTTTAAATATGTCTCCTCTGCATAAAGCAAAGTTTGTTCCTCTCAGGTGAATGTCACCTTGAAAATAAACTGCTAAAGCTAACACAATTACCTTGACTAATCAAAGGCAATGAAGTTTTCAAAAACGTCCACTGGTAAAATCAAAACAGGATGAGGTGGTGCTTGCAACACACATCTGACTTACAAATTAGTTTCCAAATACTCTTCATTTTCTCAGAAGTCTCCTTTCACAGTATATACCATTAGAGTGATCTGGTAATAGTAGTTATTGCCAAAATTTTCTCCTGTGTCATTGTTGCTCCAGAGGTCAGCGTTAAACATGTAGTTCCATATTAGTCTCCCCATACATTCTTTAAGGCGCTTCTCTAACAATTATAGCATATTTCACTACCTGCTCTCATTTTAGCAGTATTCTACAATCTACAAAGACAGCCTATTAATAAAATGACAAATGTTTAAAAGAATTAGAAAGGTTTAAAAGGTTAACAAAACTTAATTTACAACATCCCAGCCCAAGCACTCACTTTGGCTTCTTATTATAGTCAATCTGTTGGCAAGCATTTAGTAAAAAACATCATTAAAAAATGAACAATAGAAGAGAGGAAGAGAAACCGTCCCTGTTCCCAACAGTCACTTGGGAAGCTGCTGACAATTAACAGTATTTATGTCTCAGAGTAGCATGTACGAGCATGGGCCCCCATTGTCTTCGACACCGTCCAAACACATCACAAAACGGTGACCCTTGCCCCGACCATCTTCTGGTATAACTTAAACGAGTGCAAGAAAAAAGTACCTACCTCTAAAGGGGTGGAAATAGAAAAGCTAAAAACAATCCCTTAGTTTGGCAGTTCAAGCCCAGCCACGGTTTTCCGTCAGTAGTGGATCTGAACTATCACCAGACTGCAGCAGCCCAGGTGCCTACAGCAGTCCTTCCCTGACTTATGTCTGGATGTCCACAATTTGGACTTTCTCATTCCTGAAGCCAGAGCTCCAAGAGCTAAATGCAGACAGCAATTTCGGCAAGCACACAGACTGCTATGGACCTCAGGCTGAGGCCAGGCCCTGCAAACCAGAGAGAACAGCTGCTCCTGGCGTAACCCATCACAGAGGACTTCAGGGTACCACCACAAGGGCAAGGGCAGCGACTTCTCGCTCCTTCTAAGTGGCTGCAGGATTTTAGTAACGCACAAGGGAAGGAGGGCAACTGAATGGCAGCGTATATATGCTGTAGCTTAAGAAACAGCCCTGAGCTGCAGATTTGTGTTAATAAGCATTAACGCGATGTTCAAAGGACCTTAACAGCACTGATTTTATTATGTAATTAATGTACAGTAACATTTGTTATATGATAATAACAACGTGTCACGTAATTATTTCCTTTGTTTCACGGCGCTAGCTTGCTCTGATAGGTCAGTAAGTGCACCTAGGAGCAACACCACCATCCTGTACCAGTAAACAGCTTGGCTCTGTTAACTCTTGCTCTGTGACAGAGCAGCACATCCGTTTGTGACAAACCTTGGATCACAGCAATAATGGCGACACAACATTTTCTCACACGGTATTAAAGCACTGCTGTTCCTGTAACCATAGTAATATAGCCATAAAGACTGAGAAGAAATTAACCAGTGATTAAGTCACAAATTTAATTTCATGAAAATTATTTGGTTTGCTCCAGAGAAAGTACATGAATATACTCTGCATAACTATTATCACCACAACTGAAAGGAGCATTTGAAGATACGTTGTATGGAAACATCTAGGTCTGTACTACCATCCTACAATCTTTTTTCCTGTTTCCTACCCAAATCTTCCCGATGGCCATAACAGAACACGAGCTCCCAAGCAGAGGATCCCTCGCATGGCTGATGAGGGGCCCCCATGCCCTTTAAATGGAAATAAGTAGCATGAAGACAAGGGGCGTGATAGAGTGGAATTAACCAACTCAGAGCCACGTTACTTTCTTCTGAGGACTGTTAAACAGGCAGCCCTAGTTTGCTACCAGAAGGACAGAGTTATAGGCAGCTTTGCACACCACGTCTGGCAGATACCTAAGAAAGACAACCCCCAAAAATGCTCTTTTGCCTCTGCAAATGCAAAACATCTATTGGCTGCTGTTGCAAGTTTTTTGCTCTCATTTTCAAACTCTTTCACACTAAGAAGTCAGCAGTCAAGAACAGTTCTTTAAAATAAAGTCTAAGTTTCACATCAGGTACTTTCCCCAGCGACTGAATAAGCTTACAGTTTCCAGTATCGGTCTTCCTCACTCTCGGTCTCACTCAAGACCGTCAAATCAAACCACAAGAGCACTGTAAACCAGCATTTTCTGAAGCACTCAGCTCTCAAAAGTGTCAGAGGTCCAAAAGAAAGAACAGCCATTCCCTAATGGTTTTCTTGTCTCTTGTCAAAACAAAATATTTTCAAAATAAAAACAGGTGAGAGACTAGGGGTGTATAAGAAAGTTTTCTAGATGTTCTTTTTCTTAACTGTTGGGCAGTTATGGGAAAGCCAGAAAAAACAGAAGCGGTTCAGTTGGCTTGAACTCCGTGTAGGAAGCTTAATGTACCATTCATTTGGATTGCTAAATAATTCTCAGGGTGAGGTTTTCAGCTGGGAAAGCGGTTATTTGGATCAAAAGGGAAATTTACATCCTGGTACCTCTGAACCAAATGACAGCTACCAGGCTTTTCCCACAGCCAGAAGGAGAGACATCAGCTTCGCTGTTTTGATTACTTCCTATCTGATAACTTTCTATGTCCTCCAGAATTTCTCAAGAATGAGAAACAAAATGACCTCATGAAAGAACAGTTGCAACGAACCCAGTTCCAGTCTTTGGAGCAGCAGTTTACACACGAGGTCACATACAGCAATGGTCAGTGGCAGTGCATTGATACAGACACCAAACGCCACATACAGCCTACGGGAAAACAAAAAGTGAAAGAAAAGAATGGCGAGAAGAAAGAACCAAAAATAAGGATGAAAGGAAAGGACAGACAAGCAGGAAGTAAAGTACAAAAATAGTTGAAGCAGCAGCATTATATTCTTATGGGTTCACTGAAGCAGAATACCTTACAAGCTTCCCACCTCTCATGTTTCTCAACTTCCACTACTGTCAGTTGTGCAAGGAATAGGAATAATAAATTCCAGCTGAAAAGAAGAGCCAGACAGTGAAATTCTAGAAGTCACAGAAAGCAGAAATCTACTCAACTTTCAACCTGGCATTACCCACAGCTAAATACAAGACGTGTTCTCACTTAAACTCTGGAGTTTATGTAATCTGTCACTATCTTATTAGTCATTTAAATAATAACCGTGCTATTTCTGTTCAATAACAAAAGCTTTAATAAAGGTCTGACCGGGCCACAAAAAAAACCCCAAGGAATTCAGAGATAGGGCAGAAATTTGTATCTTTCTCTAACTTTAAATAAACAACGCAGCAGACATTATCCTCAAGCTGTGCACATCTCTGCCATCCCTTTAAGTCTCTGCAAAAAAAAGTTGTACTAGCTAGAACGGATGTTCAAACTGTTGTGTAGTTTAGATAGCTTTTTACATTGCGCTTCCGTTAATTAAAATAGATACATTTGAAGTAACCAGAGCAGCTTTTCAACTTCAACTTCCTACATTTTTTAGGCAAGCACTGATGTTAAAAAAAACACTTTTACAAAAATAGAACGAGCAGTCTGGCCACAGATACCCATTTCCGATCATTTACGTAACGAATACTAACTGTCATTTGGGATTAGTAAAAATGAACTCTAATCCACTTTATTAGCAAATAGCTATGGTTTTAGCACATTCTAGTTCGAGGAGCTAATAACCGTCAGCAGAGTTCAGAGCAGCTCTGGCACCACTCAGTGCACGCAGTGCTTCCGACAACGCTGCTCCATCAGAATCTTTTGGCAGCACGCAGGAACGGAGCAGTCAGCTTTAATAACTCCCAATTTCTACGTGCCCCTGTTAAATACGCGGGGCCTTCCGCTCGCTCGTTCCAGTCACAGGCGTCAACGCTTCTCCCCAACGAAAAACATCTTCCCTGACAGAAAGGACTGACAGACTGGAAACCAGTAATAGGCTTCATCACGTTGCCATAACTTAACACCTGCTGCGAAGCACAGCGGAAAGCAATTGCTTCAAGCAGAAGGGAGGGAGAAGAGCAGAATATGGCAGAGAAACAGGGGAGGGAAAAAAAAAAATGCTTTTCCACCCTGCCACTCAGAAAAGCGACAGGCAGGCGAGAAACGCGACCGAACGCCGGGCAGGCGAGGCGGCACCGCGGG